CTCTTCCCATTAAGTTGCCTTTGCATTTTGTTGTTTGGTAGTTTCCTTCTCTGTGCAGAAACTTTTCTGTTTCGTGTGGTCCCATTTGTTTGGTTTTGCTTTGTTTCCCTTGCCTTTGGAGTCAGATGCAAAAAAACTTTGCTAAGATTTATGTCAAGGAGATTACTGCTTATGTTTCCTTCTAGGCTTTATGGTTTCAGGTCTTAAAGTCAAGTCTTTGATCCATTTTGAGTTAATTTTTGTATATGGTGCAAAATAGTAATCCGTATTCATTCTTTTGCATGTAGCTGGCCAGTTTTTCCAAAACTATTTACTGAAGAGACTGTCCTTCCCCCATTGTATGTCCTTACTTCCTTTATCGTAAATTAATTGACCATATATACTTGGGTCTATTTCCGGGCTGTCTATTCTGTTCCACTAATCTATGTGTGTTTCTATGCTAACACCATACTGTTTTGATTACTATAGGTTTATGGTATAGTTTGAAATCAGGGAGTGTGATACCTCTGGCATTGTTCCTTTTTAAGACTACTTTGGCTATTCAAGGTCTTTTGTGGTTCCGTATACATTTTAGAAGTATTTTTTCTTGTTCTGTGGAAAATGCCATTGGAATTTTGATAGGGATTGCATCAAATCTGTACATTGCTTCGGGTGGTATGGTCATTTTACCAATATTAATTCTTCCAATCCATGGGCACAGAATATCTTTCCATTTATTTGTGTCTTTAATTTCTTTCATCAATGTCTTATAGTTTTTTAAATTTTTTCAAATGTTTATCTTTGAGAGAGAGGGACAGACAGAACACGAGTGCAGAGGGGCAGAGAGAGAAAGAGAGAGAGAGGGAGAGAAAATCCAAAGCAGGCTCCAGGCTCTGAGCCATCAGCATAGACCCCGACACAGGGCTTGAACTCATGAACCATGAGATCATGACCTAAGCCGAAGTTGGATGCTTGACAAACTGAGCCACTCAGGCACTCCAATGTCTTACAGTTTTCAGTGTAACCTATAGTTTTTGGTTAAATTTATTCATAGGTATTTTACTCTTTTTGATGTGCCCATAAATGGGATTTTTTGGATTTCTTTTGTTGATAGCTATTATTATACAGAAACACAACAGATTTTTGAATATTAACTTTGTGTCCTGAAACTTTACTGAATCCATTTATTAGTTCTAACAGCTTTAGTGGTGGAGTCTTGAGGGTTTTCTATATATAATATCACGTCACCAGCAAATAGTGATGGTTTTACTTCTTCCTTTCCAATCTGGATATCTTTCATTTCTTTTTCTTGCCTAACTGTCCTTGTTAGGACTTCCAATGCTATGTCGAATAAAAGTAGGGACAGTGGGAATCCTTGTCTTGTTCTTGATCTCAGTGGAAAAGCTTTTAACCTTTTACTGTTGCATATGACATTAGCTGTGGGTTTGTCATATACAGTCTTGATTATGTTGAGGTACATTCTCTATCCACTTTGTTGAGTTTTTATCATCAATGAATGTTGAATTTTATCAAATGCTTTTCTGTATCTATTGAGATGATCATACATTTTTATCTTTCATTTTGTTAATGTGGCATATGACATTGATTTGATTTGCGGATGTTGAATAATCCTTGTATCTGTGGAGTAAATCCCACTTGATCATGGTGCACGATCCTTTTCACGTACTGTCGAATTCCTAAGGTTGAATTTGATTTTGTTGAAGGTTTCTGCACCTGTGTTTATTAGGGATCTTGGCCTGTAATTTTCGTTTTTTTTTGTGGTATCTGTGTCTGGTTTTAGTATCAGGCCTTGTAAAGTGAGTTTGGAACTGTTTCCTCCTCTTCAGTTATTGGAAAAAGTTTGTGAAGGAGGGTAGGTGTTAAATCTTTGAATGTCTGATAGAATTCACCAATGAAGTCCAGTGGTCCTGGACTTTAATTTTTGGGAGGTTTTTGATTGCTGATTCAATCTCCTTACTAGTAATTATAATCAGATTTTCTATTTCTTCATAATTCACTCTTGGAAAATTGTAACATTCTAGGAATTTATCTATTTCTTCTAGGTTGTCCAAGTTTTTGGTCTATAATTCATAATTCATAGTGAACTATAGTTCCTAGTATTTCTGTGGTATCAGTTATAACTTCTTTTTCACTTCTGATTTTATTTGAGTCTTGTTTTTGTTGTTGTTGTTTCTAAGTCTGGCCAAAAGTCTTGTCAATTTTATCTTTTCAAAGAACCAGCTCTTGGGTTCCACTGATCTTTTCTACTGTCTTTTTATTCTCTATTTCATTTATTCCATTCTGATCTTTATTATTTCCTTCCTCCTACTAACTTTTGGCTTTATTCTTTTTCTAGTTCTTTCTGATGTACCATTAAATTGAGATTTCTCCTGTTTCTGGAGGTAGGCCTGCATGCTATCAACCTCCCTCTCAGAACTGCTTTTACTTCATCCTGTAGATTTTTGTATGCCATATTTCCGTTTTCATTGTGTCTAGGTATTTTTTTCTCTTTTGATTTATTCTATGATTCACCAATTGTTCAGTAGCATGTTGTTTATTCTCCACATATTTGTGATTTTTCTGATTTTCCTCTTGTAATTTATTTCTAGTTTCATACAATAGTGGTATGCTAGATATGCTTGATATGCTTGATGGGATTTAAACCTTCTTGCATTTACTGAGACTTGCTTTGTGACCTAACACCTTATCTATTCTAGACAATATTCTGTGTGAACTTGAGAGGAATTTATATTCTGCTGCTTTTGGATGGAATGTTCCATATATATCTATTAAGTCCATCTGGTCTAAAATGTCATTTAAGGTTTATGTTTCCTTACTGATTTTCAGTTGTTTTTTTTTTAATTAAAAGGATATTTTTAAATATTTATTTACTTCTCAGAGAGAGAGAGAGAGAGAGAGAGCGTGCAGGAGTGGAGGGGGGAGCAGAGAGAGGGAGATACAGAATCCGAAGCAGGCTCCAGGCTTTGAGCTGTCAGCACAGAGCCCAATGTGGGGCTTGAACCCACAAACTGCGAGATCATGACCTGAGTGGAAGTCGGCTGTTTAACCAACTGAGCCACTCAGGTGCCCCTGATTTTCAGTTTTGATGACTGATGTAAGTAAGATGTTAAAGTCCTCTGCTATTATTGTATAGTATATGCAATTATATTATATACTTTGACGCTCTTATGTTGGGTGCATACATATTTATAAATGTTATATTTTCTTGCTGGATTGACTACTTTATCATTATGTACTGCTTCTCTTTGTCTTTAATTACACTCTCTTTTTTAAAGTCTATTTTGTTTGATACAAGTATAGCTGCACCAGCTTTTTGTTTCCATTTGCACTCAACATCTTTTTCCTTCCCTTTACTTTCAGCCTGCGTGTGTTCCTACAGCTGAAATGAGTCTGGTAGGCTGTATATAGATGTTTTAGGAATTCAGTTTGAACATGTTAAGTTTTATATGTCTAATTGGACATCCAAGTGGAAAAATCCAGTAGACAACTAGACATAAAGGTCTGCAGTTCAGAAAGTTCAGGCTGCAATTATAAATTTGAGAGTCTTAGCACACAGATGGCATTTAATTCAATGAGGTTGCATGAGACCATTTAAAGAGCAAATCTACATAGGAAAGAAGAACACATCATGGTCTAGGCTCTAGGTCATTCTAATATGTAGAGGTCAGGGAGATTAGGAGACACCAGCAACATTAGTTGGGAAGTTGCAGACAGAAAGGCAAAAAGTAAACCAATGTTTACCCTGAAAGTCAGGGTTTCAAGGAAAGTGTGATCAACTGTGACAAATAATGATGATAGGTTAAGTAAGATTAAGACTGAGAAAATGTTCATTGGATTCGGCAACAAGGAGGTCAACCAGAGAGTTAAAGGATAATTCTGGTTGTAGTAAAGGCAAATATCTTTGGAATGGGTTCAAGAGAACTGGAGGAGAGAAACTAGAAATAGTGGGTATAGATATGCCTTTTGAGAAATAGGGTGACAGCTGGAAAAAAAAAATGGGACTATGTAAAGGTTTTTGTTCTGTTTGAAAATGGGAGAACAGCATATTTATATATTGATGAGAATAATCCAACAATAAAAGAAGAATTACTGCAGTAATATTTTGAGAGAGAGAAGAGATGAACTTTAGCACATAAGTGGAAGGAATATCCTTGGCTAAATCATCTATTGTAATTGAAGAGAAGCTGGAGTTTGGGGAGCAGATGCAGGTTAAGTGGCTAATGTTTTGGTAGGGAATCAGGATGTTCTTTTCCAGTTACTTCAATTTGCTTGGTAAGTAGGAAACTAGGTTGTTAGCCATGAGGATGAAAGAGGAGGAATAATGAGAAAAAAGAAAGTATGAAATAGTTGCCTAGGAAGTCAAATGAATTATGCAAAAGGTCAGGACAATCATACACATTTTCTGGCAGAAAACAAGAACAAACTTTATATCCAAACTTTCCCCCATAACATATGCCAGTGGTATGTTCCGCCATCGCTCCAATATGCCTTCTGGATCTGTGGTTAAATAACTGCTGTGTGCATTCATAGCCCTTGAGCACTAGGATATTCTTAAATTTTAAAGATCAAGTGATATTCAGAACTTTGTGTTTAATGAGGCAGAAAAATAAGTAATAATTTAGAGACTTATGCAGGTTTGAGACCAACTTCAGGACACTAAAAAAAACAAACAAAAAAACTAAATAATAATTAAACACCTTATTTTCCCAGACATGTGAAACTTGTAAATAGTGTGCTTATGCAAAGCATCAAACAATATATCCTTAGGAGCAGAATGATGCAATTCTTTTCCTCAATAAAAAGGCGTTACACTTGTCACCTGACCACACTGTTATGATGAATTTCTGTATTATAACTATTTAGACCAAGAAATAAGAAAATGCAGAAGATTCCCACAGTACCTTTTCATCCAAGTCTGAACTACTGACAGCATTGTTAAGATGAAATTCTGCATTACCACTGTTTAGACCAGGAAATAAGAAAATGCAAGTCTCTTGTACCTTTTCATCCAAGTCTGAACTTTTTATGTGTTCACTGAAGTCTTCCAGATTTTCACTTTCAGAGGTCTCATTAGTAATTTCCCCTAGGGAAATGTTTTCACCTTTGGAATCATGTTTTATCTCATTTGCTGAAAAGAAAGAATATTCAACTGTAGAAACTTCAAACAGTGAAATAACTAAGTTATTCAAAGATTGTTCTAAAAATGAGTTAGAATTCAGACTCTTTTAAAGTCCAATGTGACAAACATGAAGTAGTTTTCAGCAAACTATACAATTATTCCTCCCTCTTTCAAAATAACTCCATTATATTAGATATAAAAAGAATGGCACTAAGACAAACTGAGATATATCAAGATAAATTTACGAATGTTTCTTGATTACGTCCAGTTATTTTAAATATGTTTTTAAAACTTTAAAGTACAATTAACTTTCAAAATATTTCCTGTGAAGATCCAGGTATTCAAACTTATGATTAACTGTAAATTACAAAAAATTATAAAAAGGATTCAGATTTAAAATGTGATAAAGTTTAAATACATACTTCCATTTAAAAATAATGCCACAAAATTTCTAAGGTCAATGATCCTCTCTTTTGTAGATAAAGCTGAACAAAGTTACTTACTAAATAATCAAATGGAAAATCTCTCAATCTCATCTGTCAACCAAGCAATAAAACTGAGGAAAACTGACAAACTATAAAACATGTTTTAACAAACTCTAGAATGAGAAGCTTCCAATTTTAATGAATTCATTTTGGCTAGGCCTGAATAGAGACACAAAATGATACTTCAATATACATATTTTGAAAACGCCAAATTTTACCTGCTGACAAGGAAGCACAGACCTCTGACTTCATCAATCCTGAATCCGGTACAGGAAGTTCTCTATTATAAAGCAAACAGAGCTTGAACATTATAAAGGATTCTACACAGATCCACTTCTCTAAACATTATATATTACCAGCTTTAGTAGCTGGTGAGGATCAGCTCAAGTTCTCCAAGGACAGAGTATTACACTGGAGGTTCAGAAACCCAGCACACCCAAGTAGATTCCTCATTTGTTTCTTTTAATTACACACATAAGCCACAACTGTTAGGGAGTGCTGCCATTCAAACTGCTACTCAGGGAGAACCCGATGACAGTTCTAACAGTTCTAAACTATTACACCCATACTAGAAGATGTTTAACTTCTACTCTGAAGTTTATGTATGTACAGCTTACTGCCAATGTAAAAAGGAAGACAGTTTGACAGCTGTTTGAATCTTTTTTTGTAGTCTCTAAAGACCACATATGGTCTAAAGGTTAAGGGTATAGAGATCAGAGTTAGATCAACCTAGGTTCAAATATCGTTCTGCCGCTTAACTGTGTCAACTATGGCAACATTATTTCTTTCAGTCTAACCATATCTGTAAAATGGGAATATCACCTATCCATGAGGTTACTGTGAGGATTAAATGAAGTGTTTTTAAAACCAATAGCATAGACTCTACAAATGAAAACTACATTTATATGAGGGACAAATGGCTAAACATTTCTCCATTTTTAAATATTTAGAAATCTATAAAAGAATAAAATATAATAAACACCCATAATCCCACCATTTTTTTCATTTAATAAATTCGTTTTATTAAACCTAGCCTACAGCTCTACAACCGCTCACTGGTTCAAGATTACTTCCTACTCAAGAAAGAGAAAAACTAAACAAAGTATTTTATACATCATTCTTTAAAGTCTTTGGAAAACAGGAAGTATTTGCTCCCTGACAGAAGACCTAAAACAACTGGAAACATATAGTTTAAAAAATGGAAAAAATAATAATATGAACAGAAGGCTCATACGATTTGACATCATGAGCAGAACACATCCCCAATCCTGCCCATTCATATCTGAGAACGGTCATGTCCTTCTCTGAAATAAGAAAGAAATCAGGTATCATTCTTAACTCCTACCTATGATTAATCAATCAGATTAATCAATCTTCACTTCCTAAATCTCTTCCAAATCCACATCCACTTCTGTTTGAAGTCATCATGTCCTCTGGCCTCATTATTACAATAGCTCCCCGCCACACCAGAGATACAATGATTTTTAAAATGTAAATCTGGTCTATTTAAAAGTCCTTTGGTGAATCCCTATATGCTGTTAGGATAAAGTTCAAACTCACCATGACTTCTAGTTTATCTAGGATGGTCTGTTTAGTCCTGTTGTCTTGGCTTAAATTATTAAAAGCTCCTCACTTCACTCTCAAAAGTTTTGCAGTTCAGAAGACAGATTCTATGGTCATCCTATTTGTAAAGGATGTAATGTAATGACTGAGCTTTCTGCACATTTTGTAGCTTTATTTCTTGCCATATGAACCCTAAGCCATGGAACATTATCTCTGTTTCTCAGTTGTGGCATACCTTTCCCTGTGGGCCTTTATACAGGCTATTACTCCTATAACAAAATTCTATTTACTTTTCTTCACCAACTGGCTAATTCTTGGTAATTCCTTTAGTGTTCATCTTAAATACCATCTTGAAAAGAAGTCCTTAACATCTCACACTTCTATTATAGTTTACGGTACTTGCTTAAATATCTGCCTCTCTTGGTGGATCAAAAGCTTAGGGAGGACAAGGCCCAGATGTGTCTTGTTGCCCTCCATATATACTCAGCACCTGACGTCTTCGTAGCCAGGCACCACAGGGAGACCCAAATGAAGATGCCTCTCTTCTGTCTAGGAACTCCCAGTATATGGGAGGCTCACATACAAGCAGACATAATACACTGAGATAAGTGCCAAGAAAACTGCTAGAACAAATTCCTAGAGTACCATCTCAGATGAGACTTGAAGGATAGCTGAATAAAAAGAAAGGGACTTGCAGATAAAGTAACATAATGCAAAAGGACTCAAGTACATGACATACTGTAGAAACCACGAGCTGCTTGCTGTGCGTATCTGTTATTACCCTTTCCCCCCCTCCCCCCCACCCCCCAAAACCATATTTGTCAAAGAGAGAATGGATGCAATCCACTAAAGAGCCTTAAAAAGACATGCCAAGCAATTCAGACTCTATCCTCAGGTGGGCAGAAAGCCACTGAAGCAATGTAAGCAGTCACTGGCAGATCAATTTCTATTACAGACTATCACTACGGAGGAGGATAAACAGAGAGTTCAGGGAGAATTAGCCAGGAGCTCATTACAATAATCTAGGAGAAAGATGAATAAGATAGCAGCAGTGAGAAATGAGAGGAAGGAAAAACTGTGAGAGATTAAAGCAATAGCATGAATACGATTAAGTGACTCAATAAACACACAAGAACTGAAGGATGTTTTTGCGGTTTCTAATTATGCTGAAAGTTACATTCTCACATAGGTATAGCTCCAGACACATAGGAGGTTATATCTGCAAACAAAACAAAAACCATAAACAGGCATATAGCAAGTATACTGCTTTAATTTCAATTTCAAAGTACTATATTAAAATAGTATTTTTAATATTGCTGGTATAGCTTATAAGCATGAGAAACTTTTTACTATGAATAACTAGCTCACAGGAAGGTAAAATTGTACATGCTGCTCTTGTTAGAAGTAATTTAACTTTGTTCTGTAGATGAAAAACACAAAGAAATTAAATTCATCTAAACTAAAAAAAATAATAAAGCAACACTGTAATGCACATAAATATTTTACAGTTTTGTACTGCTGTAATGAAAAGGTACAGCTCTCCCTTGATGGAGTGGGAAGGTTCAAAAATGAAGGGGAGGATGAGGAAAGGAGAGAAACAAACAGACTTGAGTGAAGCTATAGAAGCGCAGAGAAGCAAAAGAGATTTGAGCAACAAGGAGAGGGAAGGAGAGGGGAGTAAGAGAGGTTTCTGAAGAACGACACGGATTACATCAAGTTTATCCTCCAACCACAGCATTTTGTAAGGGAGTGATGAAGTTTAATGGGTTCCACCCAGGACTTGTTTTTTTTTTTTTATAAAACAAAATTTAATACAAAATATGATACTACATCTCTTATAGTAGGGAAAATATTGTTTTTATAAATCTGTTTCACACACTCACAAGTATGTCCTGGATCGTAATGCAAAATGTACCTTTGCTATGGGTAACTGACAAAAAGTCTAGAGCAGGACTGCTCTAGAATTATTACTACCAGAACAAGTCTGAAAACTATGCCCAAGAAAAATTCAAAATGTTATTGCTTTCTTCTGAGATGTTAACTAGCTGACTTGAGGTCAGTGTTCACTTATTTACACATTCACATACTGCTTCTAAATAGGGCTGCTACAAATTTACTGAGGCAATTATTCTGTAGATAGCAGTGGCCAAAAGCAGAGAAATATTATAGTATCCAATTCATTGGGCCAGAGGTTGCCTGGACTGATGCCCTGGTGTGAGGTGCTAGGTCTCTTGCTACTACAAATCAGTATTCCATAAAGTACAGTATCATATATTCTGGCAAAGACAAAAAAACACAATGGTTTATGTGACCCAAAAGAGAAGAAAGTAAAAATAAGAATGACACTTCTTCAAACTGCCCCACCGCCACTTTAGAGAGGAAATGACGGAGAAAAGAGATCAAAAGTAGATTAATGTTCTGTGGCAATCTGTAATCAAATTAAAGTCTTACAAATAACCAAAATGGCCCTGTTCTAGCAGGCTGTTTTGGGCTGAGGAGCAAACTTCAGAGCAAGCTACCCTGGGTTCAGATCCAGGCCTTACTAACTTACTAGCTGTGTGTCGTTTGGAAAATTAAACACTTTGATTCAATTTTAAGGAGGGCTAGTTTTAGAGAAACTGAACAGACATTTTTCCTAAGAAGACTCAGAGATGGCCAATGAACACATGAAAAGATGCTCAATACCACTAATCATCAGAAAGATGCAAATCAAAATCACTTCATACCTGTCAGAATGGCTAAAATAAGTAACACAAGAAATAACAAGTGTTAGGATGTAGAGAAAAAGGAACGCTTGTACAATGTTGGTGCAACCACTGTGGAAAATAGTATGGAGGTTCCTCAAAAAATTAAAAATAGAAGTACATTATGACTCAATAATTGTACTACTGAAAGAAAATGAAAATACCAATATATGCACCTCTATGTTTACTGCAGCATTACTTACATTAGCCAAGATAAGGAAGCACCCTAAGTGTCCATCGATAGATGAATGGATAAAGATGTAGTGTATACACACAGGAATATTACATAGCATAAAAAAAAAAAAAAAAAGGAAGAGGTCATACTATTTGGTCATACTATTTGCAACAACATGGATGGACCTACAGTGTTATTATGCTAAATGAAATCAGTCAGACTGAGGAAGACAAATACTATATGATTTCACTCATATGTGGAATCTAAAAAACAAATGAATAAACAAAAAGCAGAATGAAACCTATAAAGAATGAACTGATGATTGCTACAGGGAAGGGAGGTATGGGAATGGAAAAACTGGGTTAAGGAGAATAGGAGATACAGGATTCTAGTTATGGAGTGAAAAATTCATGGGAAGAAAAGGCACAGCATAGGAAATATAGTCAATGATATTGTAATACTATTGTAAGGTGACAGATGGTATTTAAACTTGTGGTGAGCATAGCATAAGGTACAGAGATAGTGAGTCACTATACTGTATACCTGAAACTAATACAACATTGTATGTCAACTGGACTTAAAAAAGAATTAAAATAAAAAGGGCCAGTTTCAACCTCAGAATTATTCTACGAAATAAAATAATGTAAGTGATGTATCTAGCACAGGGCAGACACCAAATATCAGTTCTGATAATTCAGTGTAAAATTTTGCACTACAGAGTGTCTCAGATATTCAGTGGAAAGGCAGAATGGAGGAAGGTAAGCTTTCTAAAAGGCTACAGAATCTAAATATACAGGG